ATTAGCCTAAGAAAGAGCATTTCCAGTTTGGGAAGGGTAAATAATTCCCTGGCTACCCAAAGAATTTAGTCTTCTGTGTTCCTAACATTGAGTATCACTCCCATCCCCAAACAGGGGCCCTAAAGAGTCCTCTTCCCATTTTAACATATACAAATATGATATAAAAGCAGGAAAACCTCTTCCCTGGGTTAACCTATCTTATTGAAGACAGGCTGACATTTTAAAAAGTTTATCTTAGATAACTAGAGAAAACAAAGGGGAAATAAACAGAGACAAGGAGTACAAAAGCATTCTGCCTGGCCCAGCCAGTGTGGCTCAGTTGTTTCAACATCGTCCCGTGTACCAAGAGGTCCCTGGTTGGATTCTAGGTCAGGGCACATGCCTGGGTTGTGGGCTCTATCCCCAGTAGGGGGTGTGCAGGAGGCAGCCAATCAATGTTTCTCTCAGTGATGTTTCTCCCTCTCCGTCTCCCTTCCTCTCTCTCTAAAATCAATAAAAACATAAAAAAAGCATTCTGCCTAATACACATTATATAATCTCATTTATATTTAATCCCTATAAATGCATGTGTATGTATACAAATGCACAGAAACAAGTCTGGAAGCTTAAGTGCTCATCTATCATTTATGGTTACCTGTGGAAGAGTAGAGGTATGGTATGGCTGGGTGTGTATGGAGGACGAGGATTAGAAAGAAAAGCAGAGAAGGAAAGGAGACTTGGTTTTTAAAAATATCTATTTTGTATTATTTGAAAATTGATGATCAGAGTATATTAATGAACCACTGTATAATTATAAATAAATTGTACAATATAAAAAATACAGAAGTGAAAGCAATCTAGTTACAACATAGACACTTCCAATTCTATGAGCATGTTTCTAGGACTCCTTGGCCACATCAGCACTTTCTTGTTGAACCTGACTCTTTAGAATGCTATGCTGCAAACTTTCTGGGTTTCTTTCTTGGTCAGCTTCCACAAGAGATGCATCTTTCCAAGACCCGCTGTCAAAGAGTTGCCTTGGAGCTATCATTTGGCACCTTCAAGGCCAATATCAAGGAGCAGATTCCTCTGTCTCCAATTGTATCAGTCAACAACTGCAACACTAATTGTGGGTAGAAAACCACCCCAAAACATGCTGCTTGAAACAACAATCTTTTTTTTTCTGTAAGTCACTGGATCCAAGTTCCGGGATGGTTCCAAACCTGCTCCATGTCTCTCATTTTTCTTGGACCAGAAGATGACCCAGGAATGTTCTTCACATTGTGAAAGGCAGGTGTGGAGAGAGGCAAGCAGAAACATGCAATACCTATTAAGGTCAGGCTCAGAATTGTCACACTGTCACTTCTCTGCATATTCCTTTGGCCAAAAGCAAGTGGAATGACCTAAGCGCACTTCAATGGAGTGGAGAAACATTCTACCTCTAAAGAGAGGAACTATAAAGCCACATTTCAAAGGGCACACGTGCCTGGAGTAGTGAACAATTGGGAAGAATAATGTTATCTAGCAAGGTTATCCACCTGGGACCTTTCAGCTTACTTCCAATGGGCAGTAGGGAGATATATTTCTTCTAATAGTAGCTGACAACAGGAATGATTTGACCCTGCAGGTGAGATCTGCTCCTAACTCTAGAAATCAGGCTTTGTCCTTGCATGCTCCTTAATATGCCATGTTTTTGTCATGGAGATGAAGTAGTATTGATCACTAATTCCTTCAAATATCAAAGTGGACAATGGTTCCCACAAGTGATAGGTTATTTCACAGGAAATAGGGGATTAGAAATACTGCCCTAGAAAGGGTGCTGTGCTTGTAGTATTCTGTTGACTGTGTATTAATGGTTTGAATGTTATAAGCCTTTATAAATTCTTTAGTTCAAAATGGTGCTAAGACTTGTCATGTTTTACAACTCAGGAACCCATAAAACTTCATTAGAATTAAGAGGATCTTTTTGACTAACCCTCTCAGTTATCCGGGTTTCCCTTTGTTTAAAAGTAAAAGTCTCTTAATTAAAAAAAAAGTCCACAGAGTTGATTTTTAAGATAGGAAAGGAAGAATCACACTCCTGTCTCCAATAAATAGAGGCATTAATAGCTTTAAAAAAGAAAGAGAAGATCATTAAATTCTCCGGTTCTTCAGGGACTTAAATGGGCGGGGATTCCTGTAGTTCTCTGACATTTGAGCCCCACTCTAGGGTTATTTCCGTGGTCCCCACGTTACTTTCAAGAACAACTACCACTTATATTCCCCAGGGTTTCTTCTTTGCTCAGGACTGGTTGTGGAGCAGCAAAAGGAGTAAAGCTGGTGTCCAGAAATGAACGTGGTGAATACCGCGCGAGGTCCATCCAAGCGCGGCTGCAGGAGCCGGAGGGGAACGGAATCGCCCCCCGCGCGCACCGGGCAGTCACACACAGCCCTTTGTTAATGAAACAAATACTGTACCAGAAAATGCGGCGGCTGGGAAGTGCGGTGGTGGGAACAGACCGGGGCGTTTGTATGCATAACTGCGCGTAAGTAAGGTCATTAATGAGGCGCTTCAAACGCAGGACAACCCGGGGCACCATGTCATTGGCTTTGTGCACTTGAAGGCGAGTGAGAGTGCCTTGCTCAGAGGTTCCTCTTTGTGTGAAAGTGGGGAAACCAAAAGCGTGCAGCTACTGCTGGCTTTTCATTTTCGAATTGTAGGCTCTTGGACCAAAATACTCCCGCACCAATACACTCCCGCACCAACAATACTCGTAGTTGAGTTACTTCTCCGTCGCTGACCGAGCGAAGAGCG